TAAATAACTGGAAAAAAATCTAATCATAGGGACTAGAAGCAGGTTATAGCCTTTTTAAGCTATCTGAATTAGTAATTTGAAATAGTCAGAAGCATTGTTGATAGTTTGTAAAGTGTATGCTAGAGTTTAGATAAACTTTGCAAAAGCAGAAATAAGTAATAGTAGTGATTTTAGCTTACAAGTATTTATTCTTAGACTCAGTATAAGTTATTGAAAATTAGGTTAGTCAAATTGTAGATATGGAAAGCTTTAGCAGGTTTACTATGAGGATAAAGTAGTCTTAAGAGGCTTTAGTAGCAGTTAAGCAGTAGTAAAAATAACACAACAATATGAAATCGATCAAAGAGTTTAAATAGGAGATCTACAAGCAGATCTTAGATATGGCAATTGATAAGTAACTATAGATAGAATATAAATATAGTGAAACTCTTAAATAGGCAATGACTAAAGTTGTATATATAACTAATTGTATTCTCATTGGTATAACAAAATTAAGTAAAGTCAATAAGACCAAGCTGGAATTTGATCTAAATTGCAAATAAAACATACCAGACCTTGAAGTGGTTATCTTAATATTAAAAAAAACAAAAAGAACTTTATTATTATTATTATTTTATAGCATATTTGCAAAAAAATATTTTTATAATATATATATAATAAATTTTTTATAATATATATATAATAATTTTTTTATAATGCATGTATAATAAATTTTTTTTATAATGCATGTATAATGATTTTTTTTTATAATACATATATAATGAATTTTTATAATATATGTATAATGAATTTTTATAGTAGAATTTATATTGATGCTAAAATAATATATTATTTTTGATTTACAAATGATATATGCCAATTTTTATTGCAGGAATTAGTAAACATATTCAAATAGTTTGACTTAAATATATACTAATTGTATCTTTTTTACTTTTTCTTTTGCAATAGAAATATGAAATTGTTTAATGTGGCTTCTTTAAGGTCAATTTACATAAAATATATGTTGACTAGGTTTTTTTGAGATTATTTTTATCCTTAAATTGTTGATAAATTTTGGGTGTTTTTTTTTTTTTTAATACTAGTAGGAAAGAGATAACATTAACATTCTTCCCACAACAATAACTTTTAACTATTATCATAAGTTATAGTTATTAAATAGATATCTGGGTGCAACTAATTACACATGGGTTTATATCCAAACCACATGGCTGGAATATAAACCCGTGTGTAATTAGTTACACCCAGGTATCCATATAATAACTATATTATCATATGGGTCTGACGTAACAACCTGTGCATCGCTTCTTTTAAACAAACTATTTAATTATTTAAGCTATTTTTATTTATAATTACCTTTTCTTTCCCTTGTTCGTGAAACTTCTGACACATTTGAGCTTAGTTTTTCGCTCCAAAATATCAAACAAAACCTTACAGTCAATGATCTGGAAGCTCAACAGTTAAGAAATCACTTGTTTGCTGTAAATACTTGAACACTCCGAAACTATAAATAAAGAGCGAAAGACTTGTAAATGAATTTGTTGTTTAGAAATAAATAACATTTCTTTAAATTACAAAAAAGTTAATAGTTTCACATTCGTATTAATTTTAGTTCTCACCTGGCAAATGAAAATTTTAAAAAGCTACCCGATTTAATAAAGGTTTCAGAATTAACGTGCAGAAATCTAATTTTGACAGAAATAGATAATGTATAACAACCCTAGCGTCGCCCATAAAAAATGGTAGCTGGATTATTTGGCCGGCTTATATATGATTTAGATACTGATTTCTGGGTAAATTATGAATTTTTTTATTCAATGAAAATAACTTGCATTTTTCTTAGTTATAGCGAATAAATAAATAAAATAATAATTAAAATAAGATGATTTAAGCAGTTTATCTTAAATTAATAGAATCTTTACACACTATAAAGTAGCTTACTTTTGATACACAAATTACAAGTTAAATTAACATAGATAACAAATCTATAAATTCACGAATTTTAATGCATTGGTTAAATGATCTTTATACATAATTAAGTTAATGCGAATTAAAAAATATGAGTAGCATTATGTAACTATAATTTATTTTAAATACTAAAGTTTGTATTTGCTAAATTAGTAAGAATAAATAAGAAACAAAATCGCGAACTTAAAGAGCTTATTTAAATGATCGATCAAGGTTTTTATACTCAACTAAATTAACACTAATAAAACAAAATCATATTCGTATATTGTCCAGAATCAATTCTGAAAACTGATTAGCCATTTCCTTAAAACAATATTTAGCTTAAATATATTATCCGGTTCTAAATTTTGAATTTTTATTTCACTAATTCCCGACCAAAATGCTCGTGTTTTAACTTCGTTGATAATAATTTTTTGACATTGTACAAATGCCTTTGTCTCAATCTTTCTACTTAACAGCAGAAACTAACAAAATGATATAAGCATCACTATATTACTTATAAGAACTTCAAACTAACAATAAATTAATGCGAACAAGTATATACTTACTTAATTAGCTAGATTAATGCAAAATAAAATAAGTAAATGCTCACAAACTTGAATCACTTATTTTAATTAATTAAAAGGTGCTTTTACACTCACCATTCAAATTAACACAAATAATAAGAGCTATATACAATTTTAGTGATGTAACTAATTATCATGTTTGGTTCGAGTTATTATATTTTATTTTTTAAACGAGTTGTTTTGCATGCAAAAATATGGCACACTTTATTTTGTGAATTCAATACAGTAAATATTCTCGAAATCAAAGCGAAAGTAAAACAAAGGTCAAAGTGAGAGTCAAAACGAAAGTCATAACGAAAGTCAAAACAAAAATTAAACTGAAAGTCAAAACAAAAGTCAAAACGAAAGTCAAACCGAAAGTCAAAACGAAAGTCAAAGTGAAAGTCAAAGTGAAAATTAAAGTTAAACTAAAAATGAAAGTTAAAGTGAAAGTAAACTGAAAGTCAAAGTCAAAGTCAAGACGAAAGTAAAAGCAAAAATCAAAACGAAATATTATTTTTTAAGCATGATAAACACAACTTTACTGACAATCAGTTTTCAAAATCACAGCCAGCAAAAAATCCGGCTACCATTTTTTTGGGACGACGCTATTTAAGCTGATAACGTATTTATTTTCAAATGAGCAATATTTCATCTTCCGATAAATTTGCAATAATGATTTTTGTTGTTGAAAAGTTTATTTATTTCGTTAAATGGGAGTCTTTAAACACTTCTATTTCATTTTCCGATTTCAAAATTTTGATATACAAATAAGATTTTTTAAGTTCCTACTTCTTTTCGAAATACACTGTTTTTTTTTTAATTCTGAAACCCCTCAATATTATATACAACCAGCAAATAAGAACTATAAAAAACCATCCAGCCTAATATTAGCCTTCACCAACAAATAAAATTTTATAAAGCTACCAGATATACTGTATTAGTTTTCGCCCAGCAAATGAGAATTTTAAAATGTTCGACCTAATATTAGTCTTCGTCCGGCAAATGAGAATTTTAAAAAACCACCCAATCTAGTTTTAGTCTTCGTAAGCGTGTAAGAATTTAAAAACTACCCAACATAATATTAGGCTTCTCGTAAAAATGAAAATTTTAAAAAAAACTGTCCAATTTAATACAAATATTATTCTTCGCCAGTAAATAAGAATTTTAAAAAACCACCAGAACTAATATTAGTCATCGCAACAAGTGAGGATTTTAAAAACCACCAAATTTAATACATATATTATCAGAAATTGAGAATTTTAAAAAACCACACTACATGTTATTATTCTTCGCCCAAAAATGAGAATTTTAAAATAATAATTTATAGTTACATAGTTTTTAGTAAAAAACGAATTTTGTTTTAGCTTTTTACGAAATTACTTATTCGCACGGGTTTATATGAAAATCATATGATTTCATATATACCTGAGCGAATAAGCTACGAAAAAAGCACGGGTTATTACATAAGACCCGTACGATAACTAGTACTTATTCAATTAAATGCTTTATTTATTTATTTACTTATTTATTTATTTATTTCAAACCATAAGATTACTAATCCAAAGCTAAAGTTTATTTTAATAATCTTTCATAGCTTTTAACTTTTGACTTATTTTTACGGCAATAAATAATATAATTAATTTGTTTCTTTATGATAAACATTTGTTCCTTTGCAAGGGTATCAGGAGTTGTCGCTTTTGGGATTCTTCAATATCTTTCACTACGGCAAGTTTGTCGCATTTTATTACATATTGCTTTTATTTGTTACTTTCTAACGAATCTTTTTTTTCACTAATGACTTACTTTTGTGCACTTTCTTCTTGTCGAGGAGGGGATATTAAATGAACGTCTATATCTTATCCGGTATTCGGCGTATTACGGTAATGCATAAAGATAACAATAATGCATTATTCTTCTATTTATTCTGTAAAAGGTAAGACTTGGCTCCTTATGCATGCGGGCGTGCATCAAATTTATTCGGTTTCGTTATTGACAATCATCTTATCAACCCAATAAAAATCCAACGAAAAAAAATAAAGATGCTAAAGATTTAAACAAGAGGTGTCTAAATCTAAATTTTGCCATTCGTATGAGTAAAACTTGCATTTTAATATGTACTCCGTTATACAAATTGCAAATCCAATGACTATTTATATAATATGCCATCCAGTAAGAGGCATGGAATTGCACACGACACTCACTCTTCGTTTCTCCGTTCCTGGTACTTTTGCAGAGACTGGGCATTCTAATATTTTTTATAAAATTTAACATCAATCTTATAATCAGAAGCCATAAATACCTTTTTCTGGCACTATACATCTCTATACCTGATCACCTTTCCTAACATATTTGATGACAATTTTGTGACTTCATCTACAATTATATTTGAAATTTTTGCTAATGCTCTGCTTTTACAAAACACTGTGTAGGGGAATTTTCATCACCGTCATTTCGCTGATATAATATAGTCGTACGATACGTATCATTTCAGAATTCTAAGTTCCGTTTCGAAGCATTTTCTTGACTGACCGGACTTGAGATGGTCGGATGATCACATGTGCGAACAATTCCTCTTACAACCTGATATTGTTCATTTTTGTAATACAGTAGCATACCTTTTAGGTTTCTTTTCTGCAAAATACGGTTGGTAATTTATGAATCTATGTACATTTTGTTTTTCATTATCTGTTTTAGCGAACCTTGAATAAGGAAAATGGAAATGGTTCTGTAATGCTGGTGTAATATAAATATATTTATTTTTTTTCTAACGAGTAATAATAAAAAATAAGCCTAAAATATACTTATATGTTACGTATTTTTGCGAAAACTCCAATAAATCATAAAGATTGGAACAGTTTAAGCCACTTAAAATTTTTTCCATAATTCTGGCTGATTAAACGATTAACATGTCAAACGAAAAAATCTTAGTCGGTTCTAATCCCTAATAAATTACTGAACTATAACTTACACCTTATTTTAAGTGACTACCGAAAATGCATTCTGAATAAGTACTAGTTATCGTACGGGTCTTATGTAATAACCCGTGCTTTTTTCGTAGCTTATTCGTTCAGGTATATATGA